CTTCTCTGGAGGTAACAGTGAAACTGCAGGGAGAGAAACAGAAACACTGAGAAAGGAGAGATGGAGACCGTTGATTAGAAGGTTTACATACAAGACAACCCCCGTGTACAGGGAATCAAAGGAATAAATTCTTGTCTCTAAATCCACATCTACTGTGGTCATCTTTCTCTCAAAATACACTGTTGCATATTCAGTAAATATAATGCCCCAGGATTTGCTGATGAAGGCCCACAAGTTAACAGTTCTGAATAAAATTAGCCTTCAGATTCATATTAGAGTACCATATCCAGACCTTGAGCTCTCATCCTCACAAATGAAAAATATTCCCTCATCTTTCCCACAATTCTACACCAAAATGGTATATCCCAGAACAGTTATATTGAGGATCTAGTAAATGCTTACCTTTGTAGTAGCAGGTCTTCTCCTTTCCCTGGAGATCCAGAGGAGCATTTTGAAGGTTTAATTCCACGTGGGTTATTTCCTGTTCAGTTCCTGAAACGGAGCTTTTCCCGCCCTTAGATTTGCTTTGCTGCCTCTTTGGGTCCTTGGCCAGATTCAGTCCTGAGTAGGTCACTCGTTGGTTCTTCATCTCTGTAGCTCTGTGATTCAGGGCCTGTGCTCTGTGATAACTGTACTTAAGAAGTTAATAAATGATTTATTTAATGATAAGATCCCTGGTGTAGTCAGACTGGGATGTATTGGGGACTGAATAATAACATTCATTTTGCAGGTGAACAATGTAAAAGTCTAATACTAATTTCCTTAAAGCTTTATACAAAGTCTTATAATTGAACAGGTAATTTTCAAAAAACATAGTCTACATTTGACATATTATTATTAGTTGGAGCAATAATAAACTAGTGAGGAATAGAAGCTTATTAATACAAATATCTGTATTAAAGTCAGATCCTGCAGAAACATTTTAGCACCATTTAGAATATGCATGTTAAATTATTAGAAGTATGTATTGGAAATAATGCACTACTTCTAAGACACTTTTACAATTCATTAATCATGAATAATTGCTATGAGATGGAGAAGCATTAATGTTAGCACATATAGCAATTTCTTACACTAAAATACTTTTAGTTAGTGATTTACACTTATATTTAAACTTTAAGAAAAACCCCACGGTATCAAAATCGTAAGGCACTTTCGTTGGGTAAATAAGTATGATAATTCAGATAATGTAATCTGATAATAGAATCAATGAGCTCCGCAGTCACTGAGATCTAGAATTACATCTGCCATTGAAATTTATAATGTGCAACCCTTGAAAGTTACCTAGTGTCTAGTAACATA